ATAAAAAGCTTGAACTACTTCAGTTGGTGTGCAATGAATCTAAAAGATGTGAAAGTTTCATGTTTATCAGTACATTACAGAAAACAATGAACCTTATAACAATATGCTAATGTTTTGAGAAGGACCTGTAAATATGGAATCACCATCCTGGGAAGATGTTCTTCTATTTTCATATTGTATAAAAATAAATCACAAACCTGCCTCAAGAATGATCATTTTTTCAAAAGATCCAACCTTCTGGCATCYAGAAACAACAATGAATAAATCTGTTGTAATCAGTCACAATAGTAGAGGTAAAACCATCGACTCACTGAAATCTAAGAAAGAAAGGATGGAATAACTGTAATTTGAAGCTCTAAAACAAACTCCTTAATCAGATTAAAAAACTGTCATTAATCATGGCTCYAAGAGGAGAGATTCAGGAAAAAGTGAATCATCGATCAGCTGTGTCTAACACCTGCAGCAGGTAGAAGGAACATAGAACCACACTGGTCCACCAAGATAAAAAAACTTAAACAAAACAAAATGTTCGACAAAACAAAAGAGAAACAAGTGAGTGGAAACTGAAGCTAACGCCTGTGAGAAACTGTCTGAAATAAAGATCTGYAAAAAAGACGTGATGAGAACACTGGGGCCAGATCTGAGTCCAGTTAGAAACCCTCTGATTGTGATGAGACAGTTTGAGCCAGACTGACGAAGAGTCATTAGTGTGGTTCATGTCTGAGAGGTGGTGCAACACAACTCATGATTCCATCATTTCGTCCTCAGAAATGAAAAATGATGTTTTTTCCTCTACCTTATCTAAAAATAACAATCGTGACTGACAACAGTTATAATTCTTTTCTAATGCGACAAGGTTGGAATGATCAAGTTCTGTTTCATGTCTGCAGTTTTTTTCTTTTACTATTTTATTTTTAAACAAAAATAAACTATTGGAAAAAAATATCCTCACGACCTTTTACGTTAGGTCTTGTATCGTTTCTCTGACTTGAATGGCGGCTGGTCTACATTTTTTCAAGAAAGGTTTTAATTTGAATAAGTTTGTCTTTTAAATTTGAGAGTATAAAAGCAGAAGTTTCATTACCTTTGAAAGAGAACACATGAAAAGCTCAGTTTTTGTCCTGTTACACTCAGTCACATTTAAAATCAGGAGTGCCTTTTGACCCTGCTTATATATTCATTTTGATGATGAGTTTTAAAAAAAGCAGCTCTAAAGTCCAGGACTTTGCAAAAATCAGGGTATCTTGGAATGTGTATTCTTCTCCTTTAGCAAACAGCTGAGGCTGAAGGGATTAGTTGTGCAGCTATTGTTCAGGAAATACTAAGTTTTAGGAACTTGAATGTCTGAATATTAAATTTCTCTGTAAACAACCTGGAAATGGAGCAGCTTTGTCTCAGTTAGATGAGCGTACATCCCTTCATATAGGAAGTTGGGGGTTTGATTCCTGGCAGTATGTGTCCCTGAAGCCCTCATTGCCTCTGTTCCCATCAGTGTATGAGTGGTTTCAGCAGTGATTATCTCTACAGAATGATTTATTCAGATTATTATAGAGCTGTAGCAGAGTGTATGAAAGGCTAAATGAGTGTTGTAAAGCTCTCTATAAGCACAGTCCATGTACCAAAGAAATGGCGCTTGATAAAACCTCTGCAAGAATCTGTGCTGCTTATTTTATCTCCTCGATGTGATTCGTTCACAAATTATTTATCATGCATGTATTAATTAGGCCTGTGCTCGGTGCCCTTATTAGAAAGGATTACCCGAGTGTGCTCCCAGGAAAAAATAATAAATAAATCCACGCTCACGTTTTTTCTACAAAACACCACAATCTGCTGGGATATAATTATTCAATGCATGTTGAATAAAACCTTTTCACAGCAGCTCCCAAACGACAGGGAGTCACGCCGCCTCCCAGCCACTGAGCAGTTTGTTCAAATGCAAGAGAAAAGATGTGAAATTAATAAAATATAATATTTACTGCGTGAGAGGAGAAACTCACAACTAGTTCCAGTAGATGATGGAGTCAGTTCCAGAGAGGGGGTTCGGTTCCCATGAGAAGAACGGGAATTCTCCCTCCCTTTCTTTCTCGTTTTTTTTATTTTCCTAAAAAGAAAAAAGCAGAAGAAGAGGAGGGAGGGTGGCTGAGAGAGGAGGGGTTCAATCTGTCATCTCCCGGCTCGCCATCGAGGAAGAAAGACGGGGGACGTGAGGTGATGTGGGCGGCTGTCAAATGTGATTAAATCGTCGTCGCCGGGATAATTAGGCTTTCAGGAGCGCCGCCCCATCTCCAGAAGCAGAACACCGAGGAGACGCTGACGGCAGCGGACACCGAGAAAGTTTCAAGGATGCAGAAGACGTGTCAGCAGAGACGGGCCTGATCTACCTGGCAGGGACGAGCCAACGGAGAGCGTGACCAGGCTTTATTTTTAAAATAATATATTTCTGGGTGCTCAATTAGCCTGCGTTTACTTTTCCCAGAAAGAACAT